TATTTCTTTATATTGAGATGTAATCCATATTGCAGACTGCAGTCTTTAATCTTCATCAATTAGTGTTTTAAGTCATCCTCACTTTCAGCAAGCAAAGCTGTATCATCAGTGTATCGCAGGTTGTTAATAATTCTTCCTCCAATCCTGATGCCACATTCTTCATATAGTCCAGCTTCTCGGATTATTTGCTCAGCATATAGATTGAGTAAGTTTGGTGAAACCTGACAACCTGATATGCTCCCTTCCTGATTTTAAACCATGCAGTGTCCATCCAAACAACAACCTCTTGGTCTATGTACAGGTTCCTCATGAGTACAATTAAGCGTTCTGGAATTCCCAGTCTTCTCAATGTTACCCTTAATTCATTATGATCCACACAATCAAATGGCTTTGCACAGTCAATAAAACATAAGTAAACATCTTTCTGGTATTCTTTGCTTTGAACCAAGATCCATGTGACATCAACAATGATATCCCTCATTCCACATCCTCTTCTGAATCCAGCCTGCATTTCTGGATATATACTGCTGCAACTGTTTTTGAATTATCTTCAAGTAAGATTTTACTTGCATGTCATATTAATGATACTGTACAATAATTTCCAATGATTCTGTGGGATCACCTTCCTTTGGAATGAGTACAAATATGGATCTCTTCAAGTCAGCTGGCCACATAGCTGTCTTCCAAATCTCTTGGCATAACCAAGTGAGTGTTTCCAGTGGGGTATCTGTTTGTTGAAACATCTCAGTGGTTATTCCATAAATTCCTGGAGCCTTGTTCTTCAGCAATTCCTTCAGTGCAGCTTCGACTTCTTCCTTCAATACCACTGATTCTTGATCATATGCCACCTCCTAAAATAGATGAAGATCAACCAGGTCTTTTTGGTACAATGACTCTGTGTTGTCCTTCCATCTTCTTCCAATGCTTCCTTCATCACTCAGTATTTTGCCCATAGACTCTTTCAGTATTGCAACATGAGGCTTAAATGTTTTCCTCAGTTCTTTCAGCTTGAGAAGCTGAGTGTGTTCTTCCCTTTTGGTTTTCTAACTCCAGATCTGTGCACATTACATTATAGTAATTGGCTTTCTCTGCTCAAGCTGCTCTTTGAAATCTTCTGTTCAGCTCTTTTATCTTGTCATTTCTTCCATTTGCTTCAGCTACTCTCCACTCAAGGGTAATAATCTTCAGAATCACTTCTGACATTCATTTTGTTTTTTTCTTCCTTTCTCATCTTTTTAATGACCTCTTGCTTTCTTCACGGATGATGTTTTTGATGTCATCCCACAATTGTTCTGGCTTTCTTCTTCTGGCTTTCAGTCACTGGTGTTCAATGCATCAAATCTATTCTTTAGATGGTCTCTAAATTCAGGAGGGATATATTCAAGGTGATATTGTGGCTCTTGTGGACTTGTTTTAATTGTCTTCAACTTCAAGTTTAATTTGTATATAAGCAGTTGATAGTCTGTTCCACAATCAGCTCCTGGCCTTTTTCTTTTTGGCTAAAAATAACAGCTTTTCCATAGTCAGAGACTAACAGATGGAAAACATAAAAAAGAGAGTAATAGAAGATAAAATGAGAAAGTTAAGCATTTGTGTAACTGAAGTCCCAGAGAACAGGAGAGAAACTAGATCAGAAATGATATTTTGAATATGTTGGTACTGTTAGGTGCTGTTTAGTCAGTTTCAACTCACAGTGACCCTATGTGCAACAGAATGGAACACTGCCTGGTCTTACACCACCCTCACACTACTTGCTATACAAGAGCCCACTACTGCAGCCACTGTGTCAATCCATCAAGTTGAGGGTCTTCCCCTCTTTTGCTGACCCTCCACTTTACCAAGCATGCCATCCTTTTTCAGGGAATGGTCCCTTCTGACAACATAACAGAGTAGGTAAGACGAAATCTGGTCATGCTCGCTTCCAAGGAGCATTCCCTACTACACGTCTTCCAGGAGAGATTTGTTTGTTTTTGTGGCAGTCCATGGTACTTTCAGTATTCTTCACCAACACCACAACTCAAAAGCTCTTTGGTCTTCTTTATTCATTGTCCAGCTTTTACATGCATATGATGCAACTGAAATTATGATGGTTTGGGTTAGGCAACATCTTTGTTCTTCAAAACATTAAAGAGGTCTTCTATACCAGATTTGCCCAGTGCAATATGATGTCTGATTTCTTGACTGCTCCTTCCATGGGTGCTGATTGTGGATCCAAGTAAAATAAAATCTTTGACAACGTCAACCTTTTCTCCTTTACTGTGATGCTGCTTACTGGTCCAGTTGTGAGCATTTTTGTTTTCTTTATGTTGAGGTGTAATCCATACTGCAGACTGTAGTATTTAATCTTCATCAGTAAGTGCTTCAAGTCATCTTCATTTTCAGCAAGCAAGGTTGTGTTGTCCACATATCACAGTTATTAATGATCCTCCCCCCTTCAATCCTGCTGCCACATTCTTCTTCATATAGTCTAGCTTCTCGGATTATTTGCTCAGCAAACAGACTGATTAAGTATGGTGAAAGGATACAACCCTAATACACTCCCTTCCCGATTTTAAACTACGCAATATCTCTTTGTTCTGTCTGAATGACAACCTGCTGGTCTATGCACAGTTCCTCATGAGCACAATTAATTAAGTGTTCTGGAATTCCCATTCTTCTCAGTGTTATCCACACAGTGTAATGTTTTTGTACAGTCAATTTAACACAAGTAAGCATCTTTCTTGTATTCTTTGCTTTCAGCCAAGATCCATCTGACATCAACAATGACATCCCTTGTTCCACATTCTATTCTGAATCCAGTTTGAATTTCTGGAAGTTCTCTGTCAGTATAGTGCTGCAACCGTTTGTAATTATCTTCAGCAAAATTTTACTTGTGTGTGATATTAATGATATCATTCAATAATTTACACATTCTATTGGATCACCTTAAACATAATAGCTGAGAATTTTTCAGAATCAATAAAAGACATTATGGATTCAAGAAGCCAAATAATCTCAAGCAAGATATATAAAAAGAAATCAACATCAAGACATATGATAGTCAAACTGCAGAATACCAAACAAAAAGAAAAAAATTCTTAAAAGCAACCAGAAAGAGAGAGCACTTTCACAGCAACAGTTAGATAGATTTAAACTCACATCGACCAATAATTTTATATAAAAGACTAAATGTTGTTGTTGTTGTTGTTGTTGTTATGTGCCGTCGAGTCAGCCCTGACTCATAGCGACCCCTCCTTGGGTTTCCGAGGCAGTATCACTACGGAAGTAGGATTGCCCAACCTTCCTTCCGAGGAGTGGCTGGTGGGTTTGAACCGCCAGCCGTCTGGTTAGCAGGCAAGTGTCTTAGCCACTATGCTACCAGAGCTCCCAAAAGACTAAATACTCCAAATAAACCAGACTGTCATATTCTACTTTCATTTCTAGGCAATTTTCAAGAGATACTGAAAATAAAAGGATGCTAAAGGTTGAAAGTAAAATGATGAAAAAAAATAAATACAAACACTAAACAAAAGTGATGAAAAACTATGATACTATAGTTAGAATAATTATTCAGAAAAGAAATAAATAGTAGGATTTAGACAGATGAAAGAAATAGGGAAAGTAACACTCAAGGCAGGCGGGTTGGGATGGTAGTGTGAGGGATAAAGGTCATAATTAAAATATAAAGGTCTCTGAAAGTCAAGTAGAAGAATTTAGACTTGAAGGTCAAGAAAGTACAAAACCATTAAATATCTTAATCTCTTTATACTATATTGAGTGACATAGCAAAAGTAGAATAGGACACTGTGGTGGTAATGTTTGTGTGTTAACTTGGCTAGGCCTAGCTGAGTGGCTGGGCAGCTGGTGGTAGTTATTCCCCATGATGAGACTGGCAATCAACTCCATGGTGGAATCTACCACAAGCAGCTGAGTAGCTGCCTTTGGGATATGGTCTGCTTCCTGTATATAAGGAGAAGCCTTGGGAATGGTCTTTAGCCTACTGCACACTTGAACCCTGCATGTAGCAGTGTCCTTGCTCAGCAGCCTGCTATGCTCTGCTGACCTTGAGACTTAAAATGGACTTAAGTTAATGGCCTGCTATGTGGTTTGGTAACATCGGGACTGTGCCTTTTTATTTGTCAACCTTGGGGTTTCTCAGCCTCAGCAGACAGCAGCTTTCTGAGTCAAGAAATGCCTCCAGCTCCACTGGGCCGGGAGCAGGAAGCAGAGCTGAACCTCAAGGTTGAGGGGCTTTCACCCAGCCCCTAGAGCCAGGCACTGTGCACTTGGACTTAAAGCCTCCAAATTGTGAGAATAAACTCCTGTTTGTTAAGGCCATCCCATGTGTGGTATATTCTTGTCAGAGCAGCACTAGGTAACCAGAACAAACACTATACTGGATTACAAAGTATCTATCACCAGGACAGGAGGGAGAAGATACTGGAAGCATGAATAGTTTGTAGGATGTGATAGTAATCCGGACAACACAAGACAAGATAAAACAAGGGTCTGGAGAAAAGAGGGTGAGAGATAACAGTGATGAATTTAGAAGGCATTTTAACCTGTATCAGTTTTTCTTCTTTGAAATTTTAAACATACACACACACACACACAAAAAGTTGCACTTCTTAAAATATGACTAAGTATGATTTTGATTCAAGTATTTTTTTATTCCACTCTTACAACTAATTTGAACTATGATAGTGTTAACCACCAAGTCAACCTTAGTAACATATACATTTTAGTAAACCACTTTTGGTAAAAAAAAAAATAATGAGCTATTTAGCCTATGTAAGTTACAGTGTATAAAATACATAATTACACATTATCATTACTACTTCACTACTAATATGAATAATTTAAGAAAAGAATGTATAGTTTTACAGCTTTTCTCTTTGAATGCTAATGTACATAATATGAAATTCTCTGATTTCACAGTAATTAAAAAACATTTTTGTTTACTTTTAAAGGCTCTGTTTACCAAGAGAATGTCAATTAAGTAATGAACTCAAACAACTCACCAATGCTTGGTGGGCTGCCATAGTTAACTGGCGACTCAGGTGGTCTTCCACAATGCAATGCAGCCAGAGCAGATCCTTTCCACACAACATGTTTGCAGCCTATTAAACACACACATTTTTATGCTTACAAGGATATGACACAAAGACAAAAAGTAAGAAAAGAATGCATAAATCCTCTTGGAAAATTTTCATACTTTTATTTGTGCGTAGCAAGGACTGTCTTCCAGCTCCTAATAAAGTTTGTACTCCAGGAACACTTTGAGGAATTTCTTGTTCAAGAAGAGGTCCAAGTCGATGGCATATTTGCAGCAAGTGATCAGGTGCTAAATGTCTATAATACTTCACCTGTTATATGAAAGACAGATATGTCTTACTAAAAAGATATGATTCTTTACATATTATCTAAATATTCAAAGGTTTTTCATTTGATAGCAAATAAAACATATTTTTAAAATATACTGATTTCTCTTAAAGAATCCAGATTTACTGGACCTACTGAGGCTAAAGTAATCCCCAAGACTTTGGCCCGGAGTTATTATTCAAACCTTGAATTGAAACTACCCCATGAACTTGTCTTTTAACCAACAATTTAGCTCAAAAAGTAAAGATTGTCACCCTTGAGTATTCTGTCCTTTTAAAAATGTCTTTATAAGACCAAATGGTAAACAGGTGGTTTAAAGCATAGATGAGAAGGTTAGGGGGCAGGGAGTTTAAGTTAATGAAACAACTAGAACAGAAATAACAAGAATGTTGACACAATGTGAAGAATGTAACCAATGTCACTGATCATTATTCTGTCTAGAAACATTTATGCTATGTATACTTTTCGACATTTCTCTGTCAGTTTGTCATACTGTAGTGGCATGCATGTTGCTATAAAACTAGAAGCTATACAAGTGGTATTTCAAATATAAGCAGGGTCACGGGTTACCCACAATTAACAGGTTTCAGCAGAGCTTCCAAACTAAGACAGACTTGGAAGCAGGACAGGGCCATCCACTTCTGAACAAACTGGCCACTGAAATCCTTATGAACAGCAGTGAAACACCATTTGATATAGTCCTTGAAGACGAGCCCCTCAGGTTGGAAGACACTCAAAATACGACTGGGCAAGAGCTGCCTCCCCAAAGTAGAGCCAACCTTAATGACATAGATGGAGTAAAACTTTCACGACCTTCATTTGCTGATGGAAAAAAACAGCTGCAAACATTCATTAATAATCAGAATGTGGAATATATGAAGTATGAATCCAAGAAAACTGGAAGTTGTCAAAAATGAAATGGAACACATAAAGATTGATATCCTAGGCATCACTGAATAGAAATGGACTGGTATTGTTGTTGTT